TGTCACTAACCGACCTGTCCTCATGTGACCTTGTAAAAACCTTTGTTCCTGTGACATGTCTGTCAGTGGGATTCTATTTGCTTTAATCAGCCACATCTCCGACAGTTTAAAAACGAAAGAATTGATCTCTTTCTTACAACAGCTTTGTGCAAAAGCGTATTCTCTAAATGGTACACCGTGCTTGCACCGTCTTCTTTAGTCAGTTATTTGCGTGGACAGGCGTTATGCCCTCTGAAAATTGAAGTCAGGTGACACGGGTTTTAACCTTTTTGACATTCCTACTTTCCTAAAAAAAAGTTCTGTTGTTAATCAACGGAACGGTACTTGTAGTACTTATTTCGTGTTTTCATTTAACTAGAGGACTTTATTAGTTTGATGGCTGCATTTGGAATGGTTTCAGATTTGTTGGTGATTAAAAAAAAATAATTCAAGCATATTTCATAACAAAAGGTACAGTAGATGACCGAATTCACTCGCAAACCGGCACTAACGCATAAGTGAAATACTAATGTACAATCCCAAGCGAGTTTAAAAGGAGTTTAAAGGGAATATAAACAGGTACTGTGTGTTTGTTTAGCAGTACCAACTTTTTTTAAAGAAGCCTCAAATCCCAATAGCGTTTTTACTTCCCTGAAAATTAGTGGTACTTACTCTGCTGATGGTAAAAAAACTCACTTTATCTTTAAATTGGAGCTTTTTTTGCTATAGTTGATTACTTTTAGACCCTGTTGTAGGATTGTAAACGCCCCAAAGAGTGGCCGACTGTGTACGAAGATTTTGTCAAAAACCTGTTTATGCATGAGCAGAAACCGTATTGCACCAAAAATGGTCTCCCCAGCTTGCTTCAAGTTTAATATAGACTGTTTTCGACGTCCATATCCACAGTCAAATTAGTGTATTTTGCTTACGGTCCAAAATCTCAGTGTGGTAAAACAAATACAGTCAACCATGTTTGTGGCAAAAGTAATTTGTAAAGCTGAATACGTTCGTTTTTTTTCTGGAATACAATGTGATTCCTTATACTTGTTTTAATGTGATGTTT